AATACATAGATAGAAACAACCAACAAGCTGAATACATATAGACATGAGAGACAGAAGGATATAATAAAGAAATACATAAATGGAAACAACCAACAAGCTAAATACATATAGACATGAGAGACAGAAGGATATAATAAAGAAATACATAAATAGAAACAACCAACAAGCTAAATACATATAGACATGACAGATAGAAGGATAGAATAAAGAAATACATAAATGGAAACAACCAACAAGCTAAATACACACAGACATGACAGATAGACTGATAGATAGAAAATCAAATAGATAAATATGAATACGCCATCAAACTAAATATTTATAGACACGACAGATAGAAAATGAAAGAATAAATAAAAACAGCCAGCAAGCTACATTCTAATAGACGTGTCTTATAGGTAAGTACAAACATATAGAATGATAAATATGATCAACTACACAGGCTGTAAAAATACAATCTATTTAGCCATTGAAAATGTTAAAATTATAGAGACAGATTGATCAGTCTAAAGATTTATATAATGTTAAACCTCTGGAGACAGATTGATCAGTCTAAAGATTTATATAATGTTAAACCTCTGGAGACAGATTGATCAGTCTAAAGATTTATATAATGTTAAACTTATGGAGACAGATTGATCAGTCTAAAGATTTACATAATGTTAAACTTATGGAGACAGATTGATCAGTCTAAAGATTTATATAATGTTAAACTTATGGAGACAGATTGATCAGTCTAAAGATTTATATAATGTTAAACTTATGGAGACAGATTGATCAGTCTAAAGATTTATATAATGTTAAACCTCTGGAGACATATTGATCAGTCTAAAGATTTATATAATGTTAAACCTCTGGAGACAGATTGATCAGTCTAAAGATTTATATAATGTTAAACCTCTGGAGACAGATTGATCAGTCTAAAGATTTATATAATGTTAAACTTATGGAGACAGATTGATCAGTCTAAAGATTTATATTGCCAGCCAGTTAGATAGAGATAATGGACGGGGCTGGTGGATGGCTGAGAAAGTACTATCAGTGTGTTAATGCATCCATGAATGTCAAAAGCTTGAATGCTACTTAACGTGACTATACAACGGTACCTGTCTCATAATATTATACTGGATATACGTGTGAGAAGACATCTTCAGTGTTATATGTAAAGTGTCAGGTATTCACTTGGAAAATAGTCGTATTTCTGGATCATACCTCCAAAAAAAATGCTACTCACTTTTTTTTACTCAATAATTTATCTATCTAGATGTGTTTCTTATAAGGTCGCTTCTATTTGTATATTATCTGAACTACACAGCTGAGCATGTAATTTTAAACTGATCCAAGGTTCGTATCCCTGACACTTTTAAAAAACATATGTTGTTTTTTGAATGCTTTATATGATATGTGCACTATACTATTTGTCGTTTGTTTCACTTTTCTAAACAAAAAAAGGGGGGATGAGATTATAAACGGAGCTGAGAGATAGCATGAAGATGTAGACAGAGTTTATTTGAGTCAGAATAACAAAGTGGTCCATCTCTAGAAAATTACTTGGTTAATTCTCACACAGCTTTATATTAAGCTTGTGTTTCATCTTAATGTGTTTAGTTAGTCTCATACCCTGCTTTATATCAAGCTTGTGTTCCATCTTATTGTGTTTAGTTAGTCTCCAACCCTGCTTTATATCAAGCTTGTGTTCCATCTTATTGTGTTTGGTTAGTCTCCAACCCTGCTTTATATCAAGCTTGTGTTCCATCTTATTGTGTTTGGTTAGTCTCCAACCTTGCTTTATATCAAGCTTGTGTTCCATCTTATTGTGTTTAGTTAGTCTCCAACCCTGCTTTATATCAAGCTTGTGTTCCATCTTATTGTGTTTAGTTAGTCTCCAACCCTGCTTTATATCAAGCTTGTGTTCCATCTTATTGTGTTT